AGGGAGAAAGGCTGTTTTCTGCTGCTCCAGAGAAGCGGACACGGAGCAATGGATCCAAACTACAAGAAAGAAGATTCCACCTAAACATTAGGAAGAACTTCCTGACAGTAAGAGCTGTTCGACAGTGGAATTTGCTGCCAAGGAGTGTGGTGGAGTCTCCTTCTTTGGAGGTCTTTAAGCAGAGGCTTGACAACCATATGTCAGGAGTGCTCTGATGGTGTTTCCTGTTTGGCAGGGGGTTGGACTCGATGGCCCTTGTGGTCTCTTCCAACTCTATGATTCTATGATTCTATGATTCTATGTCCCAAACGGCGGTGCCATAAATGAACACAAGAATTATGGGTAGGCGAGTTCACACAACCAGCATGAACCTGTTCAACTTCATCTGGACTTGTCTCAAAATAATATAACCCATTTCTGCATTCCACCTGCAAAAGAGATACGTTATTCTTTGAAATAGTGCAAACCCCATTTTCAAACACAGTTTTAAACCCATCTCTATCAAGTTCTGACACAGACAAAATATACCCCTTCATTCCCTTTTAGCACATAGTCATCAATTTCTGTATGCAAACAATTCAAGAACACTGTGCCTACTGTCTCTAAGGAACGTTTAGTTGAATCTGCCATTGTCACAACTTTAAGGGTTTGCAAATGCCTGCAATTCTGCAAAGGGACACTAGAGATGCACCACTGTCGATCAACCAGCGTAGATTGCTGCCTTGGCCACGCCCTTGCATCAACGCCATTGCTGAAGCCGTGTGCTGTGTTCTGTGGGAGTAGCCACGACCTCCTCCTCTTTTTCGACGTCCCCTGGAACTCCTTCTCTGGTAACTAGGGGTAACGGCCTTGGTGCTGTCTTGACCAGGTTCACGTGTGCAGTTCCTGATTAAATGGGAAGAGGAACCACAGCGAAAACAGTGTCTAGCTGCAAAAGCATTTACTGTGTTCTCAAACTCAGCATCCCCACTCTTAGGCACAGCACAACTCCCCTTTGAAGACAAACCTCTTTCTCTTTGCCTTTTATCCTGTTCATCTGCAAGCCGAGAAGAAATGTATTCAAGGGTTAATTCAGCTGTAGGCATAGCTTCCAAAGTTAAAGCTAGAGTCTCATAGCTTTTATCAAGAGAAGACAACAATATGTATGACTGCTGCTCCATAGAGAAAGGAATGCCCAGCTGTCTTAGTTGATTAAAGGCAGACACCATTTTGGCAATATGTTCTTTCACACACGCTCCCAGTTGGAGACGTAAATCAAACAAACATCTTGTAGCATGGATCTTGGCCCCCGCAGTGTTTCTGGAATTTAGCCGCTGCAGAACCATCCAGACCTCATGCGTGTTCTTTAACTCAGAAACATAAGGCATTTGCTCTGGTCCCACTGCCAAAACTAATAGACCTTGGGCTTTCCTGTCGCGTTTCTGTGAAGCTGCTGCTGCTGCTTTGTCTTCTGCAGACGCGTCTGCAGCTGCCTGTAAAGGCGGTACTTCAGCACAACTCCACAACTCTTTTGCTTCCAACCAAACCCTTACTCTAGCCTTCCAATCTTGCCAATTTTTCCCATTGAGTCGCGTAAACGGGGCAGCAAAACTTTCCTAGGACTCTGCCATCCTCCCTGGGGCTTAGGAACGATACTCACACACCTGTAGACCGTCTCCCAGCTGCTGAGGTGGCTCCTTGGAGGAATAAGAAGTCTTCCAGCGAGTACAAACTGTGCAGTGCCTGTTTAAAACTTTTTCTAGGCACGTTGCAGGACTCAAGCTGCTTTGAAGGCTTTCGTTGTCGGCAACCGCTTCTGTCTTCGCTCCAGTCCTTTCATAAATTACTCTGAACTGCACTCCTTATCTCCTTCTTGACATACAAGCAGCCATAACCTGTCCATTAAACTTTAATTAGTTTAATGTTAAGTAAACGTCCAGTGTGCTTCCAACGCCATAAATCTTACCTCAGCAGAGAATTTCATGCAGCAGTTGAAGAAGGCAGGAGAGTCAGTACCTTTCAATGAAGAATCCTGGAGCAAGCACTTTGGAACTCAGGAGAAAAAACTTTATTTACAAAAGAAAAACCCTGGCGATAAAGCACACATGCTTTTATCTCCGGCATAAAGAAAACTTTACTCTAAACTTAACTCATATTAGCAAACACGCCCATGGCCACAAACTGAGTCTGCGAGTCAGGTCAAGGGGGGGGGGAGAGAGAGAACACACGGGTGAACTGACTATTTATACAAACTAACTCACATTCCTGGATGCTTAATGACTTCCAGCTGCTCAGTGATTAGAGCGACTTGTTACCTCTTAACCCTTTAGTACCAACAAAATTATATCCCAATGGAAGGATAATTTAATGAAGAATGTAATGCAAGAAATTTTATGAGGGAGTATTTATTAGAACAGCAGTCATAAAGAAAAAAATTGAAACCTTTGGTAACCATTGGTAACCTTTAGCGTTAATTACGGCCTTACAACACCTTCCCATGAAGTGAACCAAGTTTTTAGTTCTGCAGCTGTAATGTGGTACCTCTGGCTACGTATCTAATTCGTTCTGGAGGTCCGTTCTTAAGCTGAAACTGTTCTTATCCTGAAGCACCACTTTAGCTAATGGGGCCTCCTGCTGCTGCCATGCCGCCAGAGCACGATTTCTGTTCTCATCCTGAAGCAAAGTTCTTAACCCGAGGTAATATTTCTGGGTTAGTGGAGTCTGTAACTTAAAGCGTCTGTAACCTGAGGTACCATTGTAATGTGAAACCAAGAATGAATTATTGCCTCTATTAATTGTGCTTTGTTGCTGGGTTGCTTCTGACTAACAAGTTTCTTTAGTCGGCTCCATAGATTTCTGATTGGATTAATGTTTGGGCTATTCCCAGGACATTCCGGCAGTGGAATAGGATTAGCACCTTTTGCACACAGCAGCAACATGACATGGAGCTGAATCCTGTTGAAATAGAAAATAAAGAAAGATATAAAGATATCTAAATGCTTCAGTATCTGGGAAAAGATCACTTGTGGAACGCTTCAGTTTGGGCTAAAGTATTTCATTTATGCATTTTGGGGCATTTACATTCCCATTAATGATGCAAATTCTGCCCACACCTTTTGCTGCTATAGAACCCCAGATCATCACACTACAGTGGAAGCTCTACTTACAACCATAATCCATTCTGGAGGTCCGGTCATAACTAGAAACGTACATAAGTAGAGGCACCCTTATCCATAGAAAGTAATGGAAAAGTGAATTGATCCATTCTAGACAATGAAAAACACCCCCAAAACAGCAAGTTAACACGGATTTTACTCTCTAACAAGACTATAGATCGATAAAATGAAGGCAATAATCAACGTACTGTACTATAAAATAAATAAGACAGTATTGTAGATGAAAAAAATTAACGTTTTTTTTCTTACGTGCACTGTGGATGGGTGGGCTTACCTGGCTACAAGCTAGGGGCGGGGCAAGGGTCAGTAAAGAGCTAATTCACTTCGGCCAGGGTCATGCCATGCTTTTTTCTTGCCAGGCCAGGTTCTTCTCTAGACTTCCTCAGGTTGGTTCTTCGGTGGGGTTTGGGGCTGCAGTGCTCCCTACTGTGTCTCTTGCAGGCAGGTGACACCTTTTCCACAGCTTCGGGGGTGGGATGGGGGCCCTCTCCCCAGCATCAGAGGCCTCAGCACTGCCCCACAGCCAGCCGGGCGAGCTCCTGGCTGCTGGCAAGACCGCTGTATATAGAGGAAAGTTCATAAGTCAAAGCGCCTACTGAAGGTCATAACTGGAATCGCACGTAAGTAGAGCCATGCATAAGTCGAGGTTCCACTGTATCTGGGTGTTTCATGGTTGGTGTAATGCAAGTAGGATATAAATCTTCTCTGATTTTTCACCTCGTGTATGTCATACCATCACTACCAAGCAAGGAGATTTGGGTCTCATCACTCCAAATAACACTGTTCCATTGTTCCACTGTCCAGCTAACATGGGTTTAATCTTTTCAACCTTTGCTTGAGAGATGTTAATGTCTTTTTCCTTAGAATTCTAGCATTTAGACCAGTCCTTGCACTCAACTTCACATTGCATTGTGCCATGTCATCTTGTATACACCTACATGATTTTCTTCTGTCATGTAGGGACAGTCTCTCCACTCGTCCATCGTCACTTGCCTTTGTGCACCTTTCCCTGCCTTTACCAGTCTGATTTTGTAGTGCCTGAGTCTCCTTATACCTCCTCAAAAATATAGAAATGCCAGCTTTGGTTAAGTTTTTCCTAATCTTTCATCAATTTCTTCATAACTGTAGCCTTGTTCACTTAACAGTACAATTTTACATCACATTCTGGGTGACCAGTCAACTCTTTGTGCCATTTCTATAATTTTAATATGTTTTACAAGAACAAAAATACCCCCAACCAACTTAATAGCAATCACACAAGACACTGACAAAGTCATCCTAAGCAAGTTGTGCTTCCTTTTTCTGGTTATTTGGCTATAGCTTTAGATAGAATATGGGTAATTGAACAAACTTTGTTGAATTGCATTCTTGATTAAATTATCTTTACGTTGCTATATAATTGTATGATATTACTCCAAAAGAAGTGGTGTTATGAGCAATCAAACCTCTGAAATACATTTTTTACAAAAATCTTCCACAATTTTGACCACTACTGTATATCAAACAAAGCAACATTCAGCAACTGAACAGAATGTTGGACTCGATGGCCCTTGTGGTCTCTTCCAACTCTATGATTCTATGAAGCTCATAATAAATATGTTTGTTAATGACAAACAAAACATGTAATGAACACACACCCAACTCCTTTCCGTTCTTCCCCATTTGTTCCTGAGGCTCTAATCCCTTTTTGTCTCCATTGCAGATTGTGATGAATCAGAAATCAAGAACGAAGGTGACCACGACAATATTCCCAGAGAGGAGAGGCCACGTAAAAATTTGGAGTGTGGAGAAAGCTGCAGTCAGAGTTCCCATTCCACTTCCCATCAACAAAATATCCTTGGAAAGAAACTCAATCAGTGCATGGAATGTGGAAAAAGCTTCAGTCAGAGCTCCTCTCTCACTTCTCATCAAAGAATTCATACAGGGGAGAAACCTTATCAGTGTGTGGAATGTGGAAAGAGCTTCAGGAAAAACTCCAATCTCACTTCCCATCAAAGAATTCATACAGGGGAGAAACCTTATCAGTGTGTGGAATGTGGAAAGAGCTTCAGGAAAAGCTCCAATCTCACTTCCCATCAAAGAATTCATACAGGGGAGAAACCCTATCAGTGCGTTGAATGTGGAAAGAGCTTCAGAACAAGCTCCAAACTCACTTCCCATCAAAGAATTCATATAGGGGAGAAACCCTATCAGTGTGTGGAATGTGGAAAGAGCTTCAGAACAAGCTCCAAACTCACTTCCCATCAAAGAATTCATATAGGGGAGAAACCCTATCAGTGTGTGGAATGTGGAAAGAACTTCACTTATAGCTCCTCTCTCACTTCCCATCGAAGAATTCATACAGGGGAGAAACCCTATCAGTGTGCGGAATGTGGAAAGAGATTCAGTAGGAACAGCTCTCTCACATCCCATCAAAGAATGCATAGAGGGGAGAAACCCTATCAGTGTGTGCAATGTGGAAGGAGCTTCAGTAACAACCACCATCTCATGTCCCATCAAAGAATTCATACAGGGGAGAAACCCTATCAGTGTGTAGAATGTGGAAAGAGCTACAGGAGGAACTCTGATCTCACTTCTCATCAAAGAATGCATAGAGGGGAGAAACCCTATCAGTGTGTGGAATGTGGAAAGAGCTTCACTTATAGCTCCTCTCTCATTTCCCATCAAAGAATTCATACAGGGGAGAAACCCTATCAGTGTGTGGAATGTGGAAAGAGCTTCAGTAGGAGCACTGAACTCACTTCCCACCAGAGAATTCATACAGGGGAGAAACCCTATCAGTGCATGGAATGTGGAAAGAGCTTCAGTAGGAGCACTGAACTCACTTGCCATCAAAGAATTCATACAGGGGAGAAACCCTATCAGTGTGTGGAATGTGGAAAGAGCTTCACGTATGGCTCCTCTCTCACTTCCCATCAGAGAATTCATACAGGGGAGAAACCCTATCAGTGTGTGGAATGTGGAAAGAGCTTCACGTATGGCTCCTCTCTCACTTCCCATCAGAGAATTCATACAGGGGAGAAACCCTATCAGTGTGTGGAATGTGGAAAGAGCTTCAGTCACAGCCACAGTCTCACATCCCATCAAAGAATTCATACCGGGGAGAAACCCTATCAGTGTGTGGAATGTGGAAAGAGCTTCATTCATAGCTCCAAACTCACTTCCCATCAAAGAATTCATACTGGGGAGAAACCCTATCAGTGTGTGGAATGTGGAAAGAGCTTTAGTCACAGCCACAGTCTCACTTACCATCAAAGAATTCATTCAAACGGACTTCCGGAGGCGGCGCCAACAGCAATGGCGGTCTCCTTCTGAGTAGGAGGAGAAGCTCCGAGGAATTTTACGGGTCTCGCCGCTACGGCGCAGCGGAGACCCGAAAAAACTGCAGGTGGGAGAAGCCTGCAGCCGTGGGACCCGGCGGGTGCCAGAAGCGCTCCCCCATTTAGCGAGGGAACCCCGCGAGGGGCTCTGGAGCCGAGCGGGGGTAGCGCGGCACTGAGGGACGATCGCTACTTCCTTGGAGTGAAGCCGTGCAGCTGTTGCCGGAGAGCGCTGTACTCTTTCCTTTGAAATTTGGATTATAAACTTCAACCCGTGAGTAAGCCTTTTAAATTAAGAGATCAAAGGATTGGATTACCTTTGATCGGGAAAAAAGATTTTGAACTTGGCACTGAAGCGGGAAAGACGCAAAAAGGAAGTCCGTCTTCCGCTCTTGTAGATAGAAACAGAGCAAAGACCTTCAAAGCTAGAGCCATAGAAATTAAATTGAAAAGGTTCGGATTTCAATGTCTGAAGTAAGAACCTCCCCCTCCGGAGTGAGGGGAGAGGGGAACTTTGTGGACTTGAGTTTGAGATTGAAAAGAAGGGGGGGGAGAAATCACTGCCTAACCCCTGATTTTGGACTGCCAGAGACAATAAGAAAGTGTTGCACCGTTTATAAAGATTTGTAACTGTCTGAAGTAACTCTGCTTTTGAACTGGAAGGGACTCATTGTAACAGTTGGAGTTGGAATTGGAAGAACTCTCTGTAATTGTTGCCTTTATTTGGAAAGTGAATGTAGGACAGGACTGCCTTTGGAAAACTGTTCTGAAAGTAACATTGTTGCAAAAGTACTCCCCTAGAGGAGGTTTGGAATATAGCTGGGGACTTTCCACTACAAGGTCTGAAATTCTTCCCATCGGAAAGGAATTTGAACTGCGCAAGTGACCTTGATGTTGAACAACAAAGCAATGGATCAGGATAAGCCCCAGCTGCAGTCAACAAGAAGTAAAACTAAACTACAAAGAACAAAGAAGACAATCAGTAGCAGCACCGCCTGTTGTTGAAAAAGAGGACACTGGACAAATTACTGCAAAAAGTTCAGGTGCTGAAGAAAATCTAAGTGCATCATTGGATAGAATATTTGGAGCCTTGGAAAAATTGTCAGCTAAAATCGATTTAAATACTACAACTATCAGCTCCAATACGCAAGCTATTGACAGATTGGTACAGGAATCTAAATTGACAAAGAAAATTGCTGAAGAAGCCAGAGAGAAGGTGCTGGTGGTTGAAGGAAAATTGCAACCAATCAACAAGCAAATAGAAGAGCACAAGGCACAACTGTCCTTACTGGAATTGAAAGAAACAGGCTAACCTGCGGATCAGGGCAGTACCGGAATCAGAAGAAGGTAACCTGTCTGAATTTCTTACACAGGAATTTGGAGATTTCTGGGGCCTTGATCCAGATAAAGACTTTAAGATAGTGACAGCCTTTAGACTTGGCAGAGGGAATAAAGAGGGAAGAAAGAACAAGGTAAGAGACTGTTTAATAATATTTGGATCCAAAGGAGAGAGAGATAAAATACTAGGCCTACACTACCAGAAACCACTTGAAATAGAGGGTTCAAGGATTGAGATCTACAAAGATATCCCAAAACACCTGCTGGATCTTAGAGCGAAATATAGTGACTTGGTGACCCTACTAAGAAGGAACAGCATTGTCTTCCGGTGAGAGTTCCCACAGGGACTGTCCTTTACTTATAAAGGGGAAAAAGTTAAAATAAAATCGGAAGAGGATAAAGAGAAGTTCTTGAAGGTGCATGAGGAAGATCTGTACAAGGAAGTGGACAGCAGAGAACAAAGGCCGAGACCAGGAATTCTAGACCCAACAAAGCCAATACTGGAGGATAAACCAAAAGTGACACCGCCCACAGACCAAGAGCAAACATTGGGAGCAGTTGGAGGAGAAGCAGAATAACTTCACAATGTCTCTGCAAGTATTAAGCTGGAATATTCGAGGTTTGAACTCCCCAGACAAGAGGGAAAAAAATCTTTCATCTATTGAAAAAGGAAAAATTGGACTTTATATGCCTGCAAGAAACTCACGTTACTAGAACACACAGGAAAGTTTTAATTAACAAAAGATTAGGACAAGAATTTATTTCATCAAAGTTAAAAAGAGAGGAGTTGTGATCTACGCAAAAGAAAGTCTATCACCTAAATTTATTTTTAAGGATGAACAAGGAAGATTCGTGGCTATTGAAATACAATATCAAGGTGAGAAATTTTTGGTAGTAGGCATATATGCACCAAATGAGGGGAAATCAGAATTTTACAAGAAATTGCATGAGACATTGCTGGACTTTATGGACTTAAACATTATTATGCTTGGAGATATGAATGGAGTGGTGTCGACAAATATGGATAAGTCAGAAAGACAAGTGGTGACAAAAGATGGAAGACTACCGAAAACTTTTTTTGAACTGACGGACAATATGGACTTAATTGACATTTGGAGAACAAAGAACCCCCTAGACAAAGAAGGGACATTCTATTCTGAAGCCCAAAAGACATGGACAAGGATCAACCAAATCTGGATAACCAGAGGAATGGCTCCCAAGATTCAAAAAGTAGAAATCTGCCCAAAAACTTGCTCCGACCACAACCCTGTGAAGATGGAAATGAAAAAAATATCGACTGGATCCTTCAGATGGAGGATGAATGACGCCTTGTTTAGAGATTCAGAAATTATTAAGAAGGCCAAAAAAACAATAAAAGACTACTTCGAGATAAATTTGAAGACTACAGTGGAAAAAAGAACAATTTGGGATGCAAGCAAAGCTGTAATGAGAGGGTTTTTGATACAACAAAATTCAATAAAAAGGAAAATTCAAAATGAGAAAAAAGAGAAGATTTTGGAGAAAATAAAAGAAGGAGAGAAAAAACTTAGGACCAAACCAAAATCCCAAGAGATCCTGAGAGAAATTAAGTTACACTAAGTACAATATATGAAAATGATAAACCAGGACATTGAATGGAAAGTTAAGCAGATGAGACAAAAAACCTTCGAATCAGCCAACAAATGTGGAAAATTGTTAGCATGGTAACTGAAGAAGAGACAAAAATTAAATACTGTAACTAATCTTGAAGTGGATGGAAAAAAACATTCAGAAGCCACAGGAGAGTAACAGGGAGAAATGTGTGACGCGGCAGCTAAAAAAGCCAATGCAATTCTGGGCTGCATCAATAGGAGTATAGCATCTAGATCAAGGGAAGTAATAGTGCCACTGTATTCTGCTCTGGTCAGACCTCACCTGGAGTACTGTGTCCAATTCTGGGCACCACAGTTCAAGAAGGACACTGACAAACTGGAACATGTCCAGAGGAGGGCAACCAAAATGGTCAAAGGCCTGGAAACGATGCCTTATGAGGAACGGCTAAGGGAGCTGGGCATGTTTAGCCTGGAGAAGAGGAGGTTAAGGGGTGATATGATAGCCATGTTCAAATATATAAAAGGATGTCACATAGAGGAGGGAGAAAGGTTGTTTTCTGCTGCTCCAGAGAAGCGGACACGGAGCAATGGATCCAAACTACAAGAAAGAAGATTCCACCTAAACATTAGGAAGAACTTCCTGACAGTAAGAGCTGTTTGACAGTGGAATTTGCTGCCAAGGAGTGTGGTGGAGTCTCCTACTTTGGAGGTCTTTAAGCAGAGGCTTGACAACCATATGTCAGGAGTGCTCTGATGGTGTTTCCTGCTTGGCAGGGGGTTGGACTCGATGGCCCTTGTGGTCTCTTCCAACTCTATGATTCTATGATTCTATGAGATTAGAAGCTGCTTCCAGAGATATTTCAAAGAGCTTTATACACAAGGGCCGCAGATGGAGTCGAAAATTGATCAATTTTTGAATACCAACGGATTACAAAAAATTTCTCAAGAAAATAAAGACTTTCTGGATCATAAAATATCTGAACAAGACGTGGAAGGCGCAATTCAAAATATGCAACTGGGTAAATCTCCAGGACCTGATGGACTTACCTCCAAGTACTATAGAACTTTGAAAGACTGGTTAATTCAACCTTTGAAGGAGGTTTGTAACGAAATTATGGAAGGGAAAAAGGCACCTGAGACGTGGAAAGAAGCTTACATCACACTTATACCGAAAACTGAGTCTGAGAAGACACAACTTAAGAACTACCGCCCCATATCCCTGCTTAATGTGGATTACAAAATTTTTGCTGATATTTTGGCCAGAAGATTGAAAAAAGTTTGGGCAGAGATAATACATAAAGACCAGGCTGGCTTTCTCCCTGGAAGGCACTTATTGGACAACACGAGGAATATTATTAATATTCTAGAAAAGCTGCAGTTGAACATCAATACTAAAGCAGTTTTGATCTTTGTGGATGCGGAGAAAGCCTTTGACAACATTTCCTGGAGTTTTATGAAGAAAAATCTTCAGGGGATGGGGGTTGGACAGAATTTTGGAAATGGTATAGGTGCGATATACTCTGAACAAAAAGCCAAATTGATAGTTAACAACATGGTTACTGAAGAGTTTAAAATAGAGAAAGGGACACGACAAGGTTGCCCAATTTCCCCACTGCTTTTTATTTTTGTTATGAAATATTTATTGAAAGTTTTAAGCAGTTTAAACAATACACTAAAATCAAAACAACAAAGAAAAAGGAAAAAAAGAAAAAAAAACATAGAAAACCTACAAAAATACAAGAAATGCATAAAAAAGCACAAAAGAGAAAATAATTCATTTTCTTAAATATTATTTCCATAACTTTCTTTCATGACTCCCTCACGTCACCCTTTTCTGTGTTCTTGGTTACAAAATCATGTTCCGCAATACTACATCTTCTCTCAAAATTTGTTTTAAATTGTACATTTCAACAATTATGTCTCTTACTTTTACCTTTTGTTATCAAATATTCAAAATGTTTAAGCTTGACATAATATTATTCAGATTAGATCCTTGTTCTTATAATTCAGTTATTT